CACAAGCGAGACTGCCCTGACATTTGTGAAGGAGATCGGCTTGGGATCCGAGGAAGACGCGTGTCTGGAGGCGGTTGCAGCGCTGCATGACGCCATAAAGGCGAAGATGTTTGCCCCTAACGCGCGAATGAGCGACGCCAAAGAGCGGAATAAACACGCTGGGGAGGGCGGGGAGAAGTTGCGGGGCGCCCGTCAGAAGTGTTGTATCTTTGCGGTTTCTTCTCACTACGAATGGGGGGCGAAGCAGGAGATTCTCGAGGCTCTCACCCGCAAGCTCCATCACACAACCGTGGTGCTGCAGCGGTGTGAGGCAGGCAAGGAGCCGAGTATGGCGCTGCAGCTTGGATGCAATGTTCTTATCTCACCGTTCATGCCAACCGCACCTTGCGCCGTTGCTTATGCAACGAAGGAAAAGGTGCTGCAGTACGCTTGTTCCTGCATTGAAGACGAGATTGACGACGAACTGGATGCGTTGCTTCATGCACTCGACTACACCGCACGCCCCAGTACTCCACTGACCGAAGCGGCAACGGTGAAAAGCCCAACGAATGTGGCACCTGTCGTCTCCCGCACTGTTTTACAAGGTGGCATAGCTGCTTCTCCACAGAATGCCACGGGTGCTTTGGGCGTCCATGAATCGATCAAGTGGCAGAGATCAGAGAATAACGGTTTGCAACCCTACACGCAGACTATAAAGCGGTCACGTGTGGATTTACTCTCCATGTCGCCCGCCGTACTGACAGAGCCAACGGATTTCTCGCTCCAGCTTTCGCAGGTTATTCAGTACCAGCGTGATTCCCCCTCTAGAACTGGCCCTGTGCTGACTGCAGACCATGCAGAGAATTCTGTATTAGACCCCTCACAATGGCGGTTTCAAATCAGCAATTCTCTTAGGGAGTCTAAGGATGAAGTGGTTAGTGCAATTTGTCTGTTGGGTGGTCGTGTGGATCACAGCAAATCGTATAATCCGCAAACAACCCACTTGGTCGTTGCTGAGGGTTTGGCAGAACGCACGGAAAAATATTTGAGTTGCTGTGCTGCACGAAAGTACATTGTATCCCCTCGCTACGTTCTTGACTCTGCAAAGCGTGGGAAATGGATTGTTGATCGCTTACATGAATATGATAAAAACCCCTTGCGTCATTTGTCAAATGTTTCATCAACACCGCCGTTTCATGGTTGGCGTGTGGTGCTGTTTACATCAACCGCTTCTGTGGACACTGGCATTGTGACGGTACTGAAGGCCGGTGGATGTACGGATATCACGTCGTACATTTTTAATACCGTAGCCGCCCCTAATATAGACTGTAGATGCATAGAGCAGGCTTCTCATCTTTTAGTGGAATGTAAAAATGTCTCGCGAACTGGGCGGTTTCTTACACCCCCATGGTTTCCAGATACATTGAAACGACAAGATCATAGGCTGTTTTCTCTAGAATTGCTGCTTCATTTGTTGTGCTTCTGCCCTACTTCCGTATTTGACGAATATGGACGCCCCATCGATACGCTGCAGCTACCACCCTCCTGTCTGCTAGAGATCCCTTTGACCGACGCGCGTCTTTCTGGTAGTTTGGACAGAGCAGTGAAGTAGGCCTTTAACTTTGGATGCATATCTATATATTATTTATATCTGAACCCTTCTTTTTCAAAATTATTATTTATTTATTTTATTTATTTATTTTTTCTTTTGAATGCGTGTTGTGCGGGGATGGGGGCTGTTGGTTGCGTTTGTTTATATGTACCGAGGCAACTGTCTTTTTTATTATTAAAGTGTTTTATTCTTTATTGCAATGGATACGCGTATAGATATATACGATGGATGCATCATGGCGGGTGTAGGGGGGCCTGTGGGAGAGTACGAGTGATAAGTTTAGGGATTTTTATGTTTTCTGGAGGTGGGCGTCTGTCTTTTTTTTTTTTAAATTTAATGCGATATTATTTTCTTTTATTTTCTTTTTCTCTGGTAAGTGCGGCTTTAAAGGAAGTTATTGACACAAACAGTTTGACAGAAATTATTAGATTTTTATTTTATTTGTTGTTGTTTTTGTTTACACGGCCGATGGGACCTTCTTGCAACTGCTCGATGCTTATTTCCCTCCTGATCAGCGCATTGTTGGGAAGTTATTTGGTCTACTTGATCGTCTGGGTGCCGGTCTACCGCTACACCGCAAGCATCATTGTCCTGTTGCTGCTGGCCTTCAATTTTTCCGCGTGGCGGTTTTTACCATCGGAACGCGCGTATGTGCGGGAACGGGCGAAAGATGTTGTGAATGAGCGCCTTGCCTTCACCGCACCAACGGCGGTGGCATGACGCATGAAGCGCCTTCCCCCTTCCCCCTTCCTCCTTTTCTTTTTTATTATTATTATTGTTATGCCGTTATGGAGGGTGTGCAGCGTGTGTGTGCTATTCTCCTTTATGACCGTGATGATTTGGGGGTTTCCGGCAATTGCATTTTCCTCATTTTTTACCGACTGATGTGCCACGTGATCCGGATTGTTTCTTCTTCCATGTGCTCCGAACCAAGAAGTGGGAAGCCGTGGGTGAATCTTCGATTTGTGTTTATTATTATTGTTTTTTCTTATTTTCTTTTTATTTTTTAATTGTTATTATTTCATGCTGATACGCATGCACCTGCGCATGCGTGTCTCTCTCTTTATGCCTTTACCTGTTGGTGGTGGGCGCTGGGGGTGTCACAAGCCGTGAGGTAGGGCTGTGGGTATTCGCCTTATCTGCGTGCTCTCCTGTAAAGTGTTGCATGTATTCACGGCTTTTCTTCTTTTTTCTTTTTTTTTTTTGCCACGGTCACTTTGACTCTCTCTGTTAGTTTGTGTCTGAGTGTGTGTGCGTGCCTTTAATTTTCTGCGTGTAATAATTGTTTTTTTGTACTTTTTTTTTGTCGCATTATTTTGTTTTATTCACACATGACGGTGGCGGTGTGCACGGGGAGGCGTGTGGTCCCTGGCGATGTTGTTTACTCCGGCAGTGCGAGTTGCGGCGAGTGGGACCGTGTGGCGGCCGGCGAAGGCTGCTGCACCCGAATTGTGGCCGGTGATTCTTCCGTGGATTCGGCGGAGGTGCGGCAAATCATAGCGACGCGGCTGGGCACCGTGCAGTGGAGCGAGAGCACCGTGTCTGTCCAACGGGCTCCCAAGCGCAGACACGAGTCCGCCCACGTCGCGTTGATTTCGAACGACCCAAACGACGTCGACTCACCCTCCGCCCTGGCGAGGTCGACCGCAGTCTTTGGCCCGCGGCTGGGGGACACCGTCTACATGCGTGTGGTGCGCGTCTCGCGTGCCTTTGCGTACGGTGAGATCATCGCTGTCAATGGCGTGTGGTGCAGCAACAGCAGCGTGAGCGTTGGACTGGCGGGGTCGTTCCGCGGCGTGGTGCGTGTTGAGGATATCCGCCCCTTCAAACCAACGAAGGATCAGTTGACGCCGCCACCGCCCGCCGCGGCCTTTCATGCCGGTGATGTCGTCATGGCGACGGTGCTGTCGCAGTCGGACGTGCGGCAGTATCAGCTAAGCACGATGCACGAGCACTGCGGTGTGGTGGAGGCTTCCGTCGTGATGGATCGCGTGCGGGTGAAGCTGCAGCACATTCCTGGACGCCGCGACGCAATGCGGAACCCGACTGACGGAACGGTCCACTACCGCTGGTGCCCGTTGATCCATCCCGCAGCGAATTGACGCACTTGAGCGAAGGTAGACACGGCAGAGATGCTTTAAAACAATTTGTGCACCTCCTCTCGTTTTTTTTTTCTTTTCTGTTTTGTTTCTTCCGTCCCTTGTGTGTGTGTCTGTGTGTTAAGGGAAAAAAGAAGGGCCACACTCGCACTGGGGCAAAAAAGAAAAAAAACCACCAGAAAGCGACGAGAAACACAAACACACAAAAAATATGCATGCATTTGAGGAAGCCGCATGATGTTTGGAGAGGAAGGGATGGGCTGAGCAATACAAAAGGGAAAAAAGGAAGGAAGGAAGGAAGGGGGAAAGTGAGTTTGGCCGCAGTTGACTGATGCACGCTGCATGTTGCTGATTTTTCTTTTGTATACGTATTTTTCTGTTTGGAAGGCTTGGACACCATCCAAATTTTTATTTTTTTCCTTTTCTTTTCTTTTCTTTAAAAACGGGCGCAAAAAAAAAAAAGAAGAAAAAAAAAGAGAAGGGAAGTAAAATATCACAATTTTTTTTTTTTTTCTGCTAAACATGAAGTTTGCGTGCTCTTTTTTTGCCTATGTCGGCGCCTTTTCTGTCGTGCTGAGCCTCTATCGTGTTGTGAGGTTTTTATACGTCAACCTCCTGGCTTCCACGGACCTGAAGCGTAAGTACGCGCGGGCCGGCGACTGGGCTATTGTGACCGGTGCGACGGAGGGCATCGGCTACGCCATGGCGATGGAACTTGCGCGTCGTGGGTTCAACGTGTGTGTTGTTGCCCGCACCCGTTCAAAGCTGGACGCGGTGGTGGCTGAGATTGAGAAGAAGGGCGTGCAGGGGAAGGCCGTCGTCTTTGACTTTTCCACCGCTGACGCACAGGCGTACAAGAGACTCTTTGCGGAGCTCGAGTTACTTGAGGTGGCCATCCTCGTGAACAACGTTGGCGTCAACTACCCGTACGCCAACTACTTTGACGATGCGGATGTGGAGGAAGACATGAAAATGCTGAAGGTGAACTGCGAGGCCACGCTGCGCATGACGCGGTTTATTGTCCCCCGCCTGAAGGCGAAGAGATCGGGCGGGATCGTCTTTCTCTCCTCCATCAGCGCCACCATGCCGAGCCCTCTGCTCTCTGCATACGCCGGGACGAAGTCGTTAAGCCTCTCCTTCGGCGAGGGGCTCGCGTATGAACTCCAGCAGTTCGGTGTTGACGTGCTTACGGTCACGCCCAGCCTCGTCGTGAGCAGAATGACGCAGGGCGTCAGCTCGCGCAAGCCGAAGGAGACGCTCTTCATGGTCAACGCCGCGACAATGGCGCATCAGACACTTAACAAACTTGGCACCGTCACACGCACCGCTGGCCACATCAACCACGCGTTGCTGAATTCCTGTCTACGAATTCTGCCAGAGTCGCTCGTGGCGAACAAAATTCTAACGATGCACCAGGCTATCAAAAGACGTGCGGAGCGTTCTCGGACTCAGTAAACAAAAACAACAAAAAAAACTCCACACGAATAAATACAAAATTGCGAAGGAATGAAAATAAGAAGAGAAAAAGAGAAGAAAAGGGAAAAATCTCCGTGCCTACTCGTGTGCCTTGCATCTCAATGTAATTTAAGGGACAAAACACACAAGGTATAACTTAAATGGGATACACACACACACACACACACACACATAGACACATGGACACGTGTTTTGTATGCGTGTATGCATTTATTTTAAGAGGTTGAACTGACATTTCCCTTTTTTCCTTCTCTTTTCCCGTTTTATTTTTTTATTTTTTTCTGCATTTCTCGTGTGTGTATGTGTGTATGTAAGACAAATGGTACTTAACGTCTGGCGAATGGCAAGGAGGGAGGAGGCAAACAAAACAAAACAAAACAAACAAACAAAAAACTATTAGGAAGAAAAGGAAAATAAATAAATAAATAAAAAACGAGTGAATGAAAGATAAAATGAAAGAAAAGAAGAATAATAGTAATAAATAGAATTGAAATTTTATTTTATGCTTCTTATTTTATTTTATTTTAATTTCTCTTTCTGCATGTTCTTGCAGCCGCAGGAACTTGATGTTTTTTTTTTTTTTTGCCGCAGGTCGATATTATATGCGACAGGCGCAACATACACGTGATGACGCCGCCGCCGTCTCTTCCTCTCTTTTTCTTTTTTTTTCCCACCTGCCCGCCACCCGCTCCGCTCGCTGCATGCGCCACGTGGTTCCGCCATGTGCCCGGGGGGCGGTCGACCGAAGTGCCGGCCGTTTGCCGCTTCGACGGCGGGGAAAAGTCAACCGACGCGGGCAACGCGGAAGTGAGGCGCAAAGAAGTGCGTGAGAAAAAAAAATACTTTTTGGAGGGGAATATCCAAAAGAAGAGAAAAAAAAAAATGGCTGCGGCTGCGGGAGGGATGGTGTGGGCCGGTTGAGGGGGGAGGCGATTTATTGGCGCGAAGGCAAAAAATATGCTAAATGAAATTAAAAGGAAAAAAAAAAGAAATTGACGCTGCGGCCGGGAGGAATGAGTGGGGACGACGGAGGAGTGGTGTCCCCTCCCCTTTTTTCCCTCCGGCTTTTTCCACCTTGATAAAATGCCGGGAGAAAAGGAA